ATTAGAACCGGCGCCCATATGGGATCCCGGGCGTGCAAGGCGAGGACCTTTAACCACTTGCGCCACCGTGCCGGGCCCCTGCCTCATTCATTTTTTTCCAACATGGATTGATGCCATCAATGTGCCAACACAAAGGACTACAAGCCTGAATGATAACAATTCTCAAGAAGGCTACAGGGCACGAGAGCAGACAGACAAGGTAAAAGATGAGCAAGAATATGACACGCACAGTATCAAGCAAATCCAGATGGCATGAGAGCCCACAGGAAGAACAACTAGTGAAGTTCTGTGATTTGGGGAAGAACTTTCATAGAAAATAGCTAGGCTGAGGTCAGTAAGATAAACAAGAGTCAAAATACACATGCATTCAGAAGAGGAGCACTCCAGGCAAAATAAAAAACACAGATGGGAAAATCTACACAAGTGTAATAGACGAACAGTAAGTTGGTAGCATGTGTCAAGTCCACAGTGAAGGCCTGACACAGCACACACTAAGTACCAAGCCCTGTATATACTTGCTTTGGGAGAGAGAGAGAGGCAGAAAGAGCGAATGTATATGAATGAACGATTCTTCTATCTACTGGTTCACCTTCCTGAATTACAACAGCCACTCCAGGCCAGTCAAAACCAAGAACTCCATCATCAAGGTTTCCCATGTGCATGGCAAGGACCCAAACACTTTGGATATTGTCTGTTATTTCCCCAGGAGCATCAGCAGGGTACTAAATCAAAAGCAGATCACTTGGCTCTCAAACCAGCACTCCCGACAGAATGGTGGCACTGCAGCTGGTGCTCGTAAATGTCGCACCACCACGGATCCTATACCATGTTTTCTTTAAAAAAACGATGAATTTTAATCTATAAATTCAGCACAGTGATATTAAAAATAGTAACATAAATTACCTAGAACTTGTCATGTGTTTATTCTTGGATTTTCCCATGTAATATTTTCAGTTCATAGTTGACTTTATGTAAATTAAATCATGTAAAATAAAACTAAATATGGGAGACCACTGTAGTATTAAAAACATTTCATGAGTTTCTGTTTTTTATATATAAGAATTAAACTTCCAAAATATGAAATCAATCCATATTTCCATCAACTGATGACTGAGAAAATATGATTTATATGTGCTATGGAATAATACACAACCACAAAAAAGAGTAAAGTCCTATCTTTTACAACAAAATGGAAAAAAGTAAATCCAAATGGAAGCCAAACCACTGCTTTTGTACATAACATCATATAATCTACAGAAAATTATGAAAATTCCTGCAAAATTATGTGATACAATATTTTTTACAAGTGACATTTCTATACACCATCAACACACTGAAAAAGAAATCAGAAAAGCTATCCTTATTATAATAGCTACCCAAGAAAGCCTAGGAATAAATTTAACCAATGAGGTGAAATAGGCCTGCAATGAAAGTTATACAATACTAAGAAAAGAATTTCAAGGGGACACACACACACAAAAAGGAAATAAATTTCATGTTGATAAACTGAAAAATGAATACCATTAAATACTGCTACTACCCAAACTGATTCAAAGATTCAATAAAATCTCTATTTAAAAAACTTAAATCCATCACAGAAATACACACACACACACACACACACACACACACACACACACACACACATACAAAACCAAAATTTCCTAAAGCTCATATAGACCCACATAAGAATTTGGATATCCAAAGCTATCCTGAGCAAAAAGAACAAAAGTGAAAGTCATAATGTTTGATTTCAAAACATACTACAAAGTTATAGTAACCAAAACAGCATGATAGTGGTATCAAAACTGACGTATGAGTGCCAGTTTGTGTCCCAGCAGCTCCACTTCCCATCCAGCTCCCTGCTTGTGGCCTGGGAAAACAGTGGAGGACAGCCCAAAGCCTTGGGATCCCACACCCGCGTGGGAGACCTGGAAGGATCTCTTGGCTCCTGGCTTCAGACTGGCTCAGCTCCAGCCATTGCAGACGCTTGGGGAGTGAACCAACAGATGGAAGATCTTTCTCTCTGTCTCTCCTCCTCTCTATATATCTGCCTTTCCAATAAAAATAAATCTGTTAAAAAGTTTCACAGGAAAAAAATCGACAAAGAGAAAAAAATCCACAATGGAAAAGGTATCATCCAATGAGGAACTAACACCAGAACCTGCAATGAACTAGGCAACAAATGAAAACAAATATGATTTTGAAATGGGCACATGACCTAAACTGAAATTTCTAACAAATATACACATGGCTAGCAAGTCATGAAAAGCACTCAACAACAGTAATCAGAGAAAGCTAAATCCAAGCTACAACGAGAGAGGCTGAGATATTTGGTGTAGGGATTAAGCCACATGGGACACTGCATCCCATATTGGAATGCCTCCATTTGGGTCCTGACTTTGCTAGTGACTCCAGGGTGATGGCTCACTGGTTGGGTCCTTGTCATTTTCACAGGAAACTTTGAGTTCTGAATTCCTGGCTTTTTGTCTGGTCACCTCCTGGTATTGCAATGACAGACTGGAAATCTGTCTGGTTGTATCTCTCTTTATCTTTCCTTGTGTGTGTGTGTGTCTGTCTGTCTTTCAAGCGGATAGTGTGAAAACCTGCAATGAAGTATCTCTCACCCCAGTTAGAATGACTATTACTAAAAAGGCAAAATAACAATAATGATAATAATGCCAGTAAGTCTCACACACTACTGATGGGAATGCAAACTAGTACAGCTATCGTGCCAAAAGTATGCGGGCTTCTGGCACAATGGCACAGTGGAATAAGTTGCCACCTGTGACAAAATCATCCCGTATCAGACTGCCAGTATAAGTCCTGGCAGCTCCACTTCCAATCCACCTCCCCTCTACTGTGCCTGGGAGAACTGCAGATGACAGCCTAAGTACTTGAACCCATGCCACCCACATGGCAGAGCTGGAGGAGCCTCCTGGCTGCTGACATTGGCCTGGACAAGTTGTGCTCATCATAGGTTTCAGAGAATGAACCAATGGATGGAAGATTTCACTGTGTGTGTGAGTGTATGTGTGTAGTTGTGTCTGTGTCACTCAAACTTTCTTCAAAAAAAAAAAAAAAGATGCCATATAACCCAGCAACCATACTACCGGTATATATTCAAATGAAATTAGTATGTAAAAGAGATGTCTGCATTCCCACATTTATTACAGCACTGCTCAGAATATCCAAGATCTGAAATCAACCCAAATGTCCATTAACACATAAATGGATAAATAGTGTTCTATACTACAGACCCAATGTTGAGAAGAAAATCCTGTCATTTGCACCAACATGAATAAACATGAGGGACATGTAAAGGGAAGTCAGGAACAGAAAGACATGTACTTCATGTTCTCATTTATATGTGGAGGCTAAACAGTTGAGATCACAAAAGTAAGTAGAAACGGGGCCCAGCGTGTTGGCTCAATGGCTAAAGTCCTTGCCTTGCATACATCGGGATCCCATATGGGCACCGGTTCTAATCCCGGCAGCTCCACTTCCCACCCAGCTCCCTGCTTGTGGCCTGGGAAAGCAGTCGAGGACAGCCCAAAGCCTTGGGACCCTGCACCCACGTGGGAGACCCAGAGGAAGCTCCTGGCTCCTGGCTTTGTATCAGATCAACTCTAGACATTAAAGCCACTTAGGAAGTAAACCAGCAGATGGAAATCTTTCTCTGTCTCTCCTCTCTGTAAATCTGACTTTCCAATAAAAATAAATAAATCTTGAAGAAAAAAAGTAAGGAAAATCATGGTTACCAGAGCCTGAGAAGAGTGGTTGAGAAAGAGAGAGAGAGAGAGAGAGGAAAGAGAGAGAATAGGTACAAGAATACAGCTGGATAACAGAATTAACTTCTCATGATCCATGCAGCACATCAGGGTAACTTGGTTGACAACAATGAATTTGTGCAGTTCAGAATAGCAGGTAGAGAAATATTTTGGATGTTCCCAAGACAAAGAAATGATAAATGTTTGAGGTGAAGGATATGACAATTTTCCTGACCTGATTATATACATGTACTGGATACCACACTTTATCCATAAGTATGTACAATTAATATATATTAATTAAGTTTTTAAAAAACTAAAAACAATTCTTTTGGATAGCCAGAAAATTATCTTTCTTAAAAGCCAGTTACAAGAGCTCAGCATGATGGCCTAATAGGCAAATCGTTGCCTTGCATGCACTGAGAACCCACATGGGTGCCAGTTTGTGTCCCAGCTGCTCCACTTCCCATCCAGCTCCCTGGGAAAGCAGCAGAGGACGGCCAAAGCCTTGGGACCCTGCACCCACATGGGAGACCCGGAAGAAGCTCCTGGCTCCCGGTGTCAGAGCAGCTCAGCTCTGGCTGTTGTGGACAGTTGGAGGGTGAACCAGCGGATGGAAGATCTTTCTTTCTCTCCTTTTCTCTGTAAACTTTGCCCTTCCAATAAAAATAATTTTAAAAGTTACTTTACTCTGAAGATTTATTCACCTATTTACCACACTAAACTTTTTTTTTAAGATTTATTTTATTTTTATTGGAAAGGCGGATATACAGAGAGGAGAGACAGAGAGGAAGATCTTCCGTCCGATGATTCACTCCCCAAGTGAGCGCAATGGCCGGTGCTATGCCAATCCGAAGCCAGGAGCCTCTTCTGGGTCTCCCACATGGGTGCAGGGTCCCAAAGCTTTGGTCTGTCCTTGACTGCTTTCCCGGGCCACAGGCAGGGAGCTGGGTGGGAAGCGGGGCTGCCGGGATTAGAACTGGCGCTCATATGGGATCCTGGGCGTGCAAGGCGAGGACTTTAACCACTTGCGCCATCGCACCGGACCCCACACTAAACTTTAATACTGAGGTTGTCTGATAAATTGCAAATGTTAAATGACCAAAAAAAAAATTTAAATGACAGGTTAATAATTATGTAAGAGGAAAACCAGCAGTGTATGCACCAGAGAAAAGATTCTGAATTTTCTAAATGGGAAGCAGTCTTAATTTCAGTTAAATGAAAGCCTACCTCTCACCATGAGGTCCCACTCTGTTGATTAATTTCTCCATGGCTTCTTCTGTCTCCTTCAGTTTTTCTTGCAGTTGAGCAAGTTCAAAATTGGCTGAAAAAAGCACAAGCATCAAAGAACTGTCATACACAACTTCCTAATCCCTCTCATGCACAGAGCTAGCTGTGCCTTGATAATAATCAAGGCTAGATCTGAGCCTGGAGGGAACTAGTCTCTCCAGCGTGTCTAAGTGGGACAGGAGGGTTCACAGGTCTGGTTGCCAACACCTGCAGGATACATATCAAATGAGTGACACATAAATCACCCCCTGAGTCACAAAAGGAAAAGTGCAGAAGACAAACATATACATTGTGATCCAAATTATGCTGGAGGGTAAGGTATCTATAAGACACTTTTCATAAAAGTAGCTGAGACCCTGAAACGAACAGTATTTTATCTGCACCTCAGTTTGGTAGAAGTTAAAAGTTTAAAAGTTATACTTTTGGTGCTGGCACTGTGGCACAGTGAGTAAAGCCCACCACCTTCAGCACCAGCATCCCAGATGGGATGCCACCTACTTCACTTGTGATCCAGTTCACTGCTAATGTGCCTGGGAAAGCAGCAGAAAACGGCCCAAGGCATTCTCTACACTTACAGGGGAGACCTGGATGAAGCTTCTGGCTGCTGGCTTTGGCCCTAGCCCTGTTCCGGTAGTTGCAGCCACTTGGAGAATGAATCAACAGATGCTCGGTCAGTCGGTCAGCCTCTCTCCCCCTCTTGCTTGCTCTTGGTAACTCTGCCTTTCACATAAATAAATCTTGGGGGGGGGGCGAAATTACTTCTTCAGTAGAGGAAGTCTTGAACTAGGGTTGGGAGCTCCCTGCCCAAAGTTTCTACCCTGATTATTTGATACTAAAGAGGCCATGCCAGACTGTCTCCCCATGGCTTTCTCAATTTGACTCACAAGCGATGACACAGATCTATTGAAGCTAATATTAAAACTCTAAAAGTAGAACAGGAAAAAATAAATCAGTAAGAAAATGAAATGAACTTTAGGGCAGTAGGAAATAAACTGCTGTCTATCATGTAGACAAAGAAGATTTCCTATTTCATACCTGGGTACTCTCCCACTCAGATATATTTAGAGGGCTATTATAAAATGTACTATTTTAAAGGCCTTTTAATTCTTCCAGGACACACATACATGCATGCAGTTAAAATCTATAAAGTGTCTGGAGGTCCGGGCTATGTGTTATTTTAATTCTACTGCATAATTTACAATTAAAGTATAAGAAACTGATATATTCTTACTATCACTACAACAGCTGCTCTCAAAAGTTCATTTAATTTACTTCTGTTTAAACATTTTATCTAACAGAACTGCTATTCTTTAAAAAGTTCACAACACTTTAAAACATTTTTAAAAATTTAAGATTATTTTTTATTTTTATTGGAAAGTCAGATATACAGAGAAGAGGAGAGACGGAGAGGAAGATCTTCCGTCCATTAATTCACTCCCCAAATGGCTGCAACGGGCAGAGCTACACCAATTTGAAGCCACAAGCCAGGAGTTTCCTTTGGGTCTCCCACATGGGTGCAGGGTCCGAAGGCTTTGGAACCAGGGGTTAGAACCAGTACCATATGGGATCCCAACACATGCAAGGCAAGGACTTTAGCCACTAGGCTACAGCACTGGGCTCAACCTTTAAAAATTTTATTGATGCATGTCCAATCACATTCTTAAAAGGTTCCCAAAAAGGATGCAAATGTGACTGGGGTATTTATTTCTGCTGAGAATCCAGGAGTAAGTCAGAAAGCAATTAGGGCAGGAGGCAGATGATTTGGGAGGTCAACCACACTTAATTCACTTAGGGTCATAAGTGCTCTGATGAGGCTTCATTACCCCCAGGACCAACCAGTCTTCTGGCTTAGCATGTTCTTCAAGGCTACTTCCCCAGTGCTGCTCTAGATGAACACCAAGATCTCTACAAGGTCTCAAGACCTCTTGCTTTTCCATGTCTTATTCAAGTTACTCCACAGAAAATGAAATTCACTTAATATTAGCCTTCGAAATCCATGCCTCATTTTTCATGATGTATATGTCCATAAACTTTTACAAGATTCATTGTGTAGACTTCAAAAACTCTGATCCAAAACGAACTTATTTATGAATTCCACTGTCCACAAACTTTATGGGGTATCCTCCCATCTCCCAGCCCTTCCTCCATGACCAGCCAGACAGACGTGATTTCCCACAACGCTTTTACATGGTCCTTCCTCCCAGGCATCAACTTCTCAGTTCTTTTTCTTGACATCCATGTTAGTCCACACACCTTCACAGGAAAACAAAGCCATGCTGTATTTCCCCAGAGAGAACAGAATATTCTATCTGGGCAATAGATACCTGATGATCATGTTTCAAGAGTCAGAAGTGTTAAATTTTTCACCCACATCTAATAACTGACTTGGCATGATTTCTCTGCTTCACCTTTCCTCTCTATCAAACAGATACCTGCTACACAGTATGTGAGTCTCCAAACCAGGGCTCACTTCAAATGCAAAATGTTGATTTGTTAATACATTAAAAAAAATGAACTGATAGTGTTGCACATTTTGTATCTATTGGTTCCTTTAAAATGCAACATAATAAGGAAACTTGGAAATGCCAGAGAAGGTAAGGAGGATATTGGTTTGTAGCAACTTTTGGGAAATTCTCTTAGACATACCAACTACAAACTCTGGCTGTGTTGCAGCAGTCTAACTCGATGACACTGGCAATGTAATGAGAAGGGACACTTACTAATTTTCCTGTGGGTGTTTCCAGCTGTGGCGGAAGAACATTTACGATCCTCTGCAGTGGATTTCCCCTTTGAGAGCTGAGGATTGAAGGAGACACAGCACATCAACAGCAGCTCAGAATCTCAGAGTCATGGAACCCTCATATTAAATGAGGGAAAAGGTTCGGAGACAAAAATCAAGTCAGAAGTCAAATCAAATAGCACCACCTGAGAGACGTATCAAAAGATAAAGAAAGCCACCGAAAGATGACAAAGTTTTCAAGTAAAAATATTATCAAAACATAAGGAAAACATATCTCCCTTCAGGTCATCTGTCTTGTCCTGCTCAATGAACAGGTGACATGCAGTTCGTTTTGTTCTGGTATGTATTTATGTATATATTTATAGAACTCCACTCTGGCTGAAAGAAGAAACTCATTTCCCCTAACGTTACTCTAGTCAGGAATGCAAAGCACCCCTGTTTTCCAGTGCTTGGGCCCACAGTCTACGAATGCTGCTGTGGTGATGGAATTGAACTGGGGTGAGAGTGGGGAGAGGGTTGAAGCTTTTAAAGGACTCCAACTGCCTCTCCCTAGAGCTAGGAAACAGACTGAGTCTGAGGACATGACAGTTCTGTCCCAGGAGAATTAATGCAGATACTAAAAACAGAATCTCAAATTCCTGTTGGAGAATGAGGCATGAAGCATATTAGCACAATCATTGGTATATGGCCTCAGAGTGGCAACTTAGAAAGCATTGTGCAAATTCCAACAATAAAATTAGGACAACCACATGCTTTTCAGCTTACAAGAACATTCAATAAAAATTATTCTGGGATCTGAATTACACTGTTTCGGAGAACTAGAAGATCCAGGTTGATTCCTGGTTCTGTCTCTTCAAGTGTGAATTCTGGGGCAAATCACTTAAACTCTGAGCTGACATTCCCATTTATGAAGCTGAAATAATGGCTAGCCCACATTCCTCACACAGAGGAGGCAGGCTTTAAAGAGATGACAGATGTGAAAGCGATTTTGAATTGTAAAGGGTTTTAATATAGACAATGATTTTTATTGTGATTATTTCAGATTTCACTGGTGTGGTATAATTAAGATGATTACACTTACCTTAAAGAGAATGTAAAGTATATATAAAAAAATCCCAAAGCCATAGATTGGAATAATCTGCCCCATCAGGCCTCTTCCACTACCTCCTCCTCCGGTACCTCCTCCAGATCCTTTGGCTTTTGCAAATGCCTCTGCAAGATGAGACCTCTGGAAACGAGCCCCAGGGGTCGGGCCATCTGAAGGCGCCTGGTGATGATGCATCATAGGAGGAAATAGGCCCAGCTTTCCTGAGAAAGTAAATGAGTCAGTCTTTATCTCTCCCATTATTTTATCATGAAACCATCCCATGTATTAAAGTACAAATAACAGAAGCCAACCCAAATGGGTTTAAGAAAAAAAAAGCTTGAATTTGATTAAGAAGGTAAAGAGGTATTCCACATTTACTAAATAGAAGGTGGTATCTAGCTACTCACCAAACCCATTTTGTCTTCCTTCTGGGTCCACAACGAGATCACATTTCTCATCCCCCCGCCCCCAGAGTGAAATGTGGTCATATGACTGAATTTCAGCCAAAGGAATGAGAGTGACTGTGCTAGTTGAAGGCCTGGCCTATAAAATCTCCCATGTATTCAATCCATGATTATTGCCCTTTTGTAGGATGAATGCAGATCTCCAGGGAGATCTAGGAAGTCACGTGTTCAGAACAGCACAGCCTATGTGAACCTGACTTCCTAGATAACTATATGGCATAGAGCCTTAGAACACTGCCACCCACTGACTTAGAGCCATCTGGACCTGTTTTTGTGTAGAAGAAAAAAACTTCCATTATGTTAGGGCCATTATACACAGCAGAGTCTATCTGCTACAGCAGTTAGCTATCCCTAACTAACACAGATAAGGAAATGCAGTGTGGTCTCAAGAGAGAATAGAACCAGAAACTGGAAAGCCATCACCATCTAGGACAGCAAGCTTCACAGTCTAGCTTAATCTCTCTTACTCTCTATGGGGCCATGAAGTTTTTTCTTTGCTTCGCTCTGTTTTCTCTGTGTATTATTTTTCTAGCTTCTTTGTGCAAACAGAAGATGGTCACACGCAAAGCTCTTAACCTGCATGCTCCTCAAGACGAGCCCTTACTCCAAGTTCCTTAGAGGACAGCTGAGTATTTAGTGTGGGTAGATAGTCGTCCCTTTCAACCAACTAGAGCTGAGAAGATGGGACACATGAAAAATAAACAGTCAAAGGGGCCCAAGCTTTGAGCAAAGGGGCAGGGCTTTGCAAAAGGGCGTACATCTTTTTTCTTGCACTTTTCCCTTCATTAAGAGGAGCTGAATATTAACACCTCAAGCCTCCTGAGAGCCACAAGTAAAAAAGAAAGCAAATATTTCTCTTTAAAAAGTCATGTCAACAGGCTTGTATGAGAAACCGACTGGGTGACAACGGTATAGAAAGAAGACAGACCTCATAAAAGACTCAAAGGATCAAGTGTAACACTGCTACACTTCAACAAAATTAGGGATCACTGTTCAATAAATATCAAAAAGAGAACTAAGAAAAGTGACAGTAAGAGAAATATTAGCAATATCTGAAAGTGATAAAGGATTTAGATCTATATAATGTAGAAACAGAGTCAACAATTCAGAAATCCAATAGAAAATGGGTTGAAAGATGAGAAAGGGAAGTTTAAATGGCAAATTACAAAAAGAGACGATTAAATTCAAAGTAAGACAAATGAGTAAAATACAGCACATTACACCCACTTGAAAGGCAAAAATAAGAATAGCAGATCATAGTAAGGACTTATGACAGAAAGGGAAAGTTAGAGTTCTTATGCACTGTAGGTAAAAAAATGAGAGAGCCATTCATCTTAATGATCTGCTGGTATTTAGTGACATTATATTATAAACAGGCCCTATTATTCAATGATCCCAATCACCAGAGGTACACAGATTACACTCTGGTGTGACAATGAAACCAGGCCTTCACCCCAAACCTTTATTCTTTTCCTTAGCTTGCAGTTACAAACACTTCAACTGCCCCCGCAGTTAACATCTCAATGTCAGCCTCTATTCGGAGAGCTTCCCAAGAACTCAGGGCTCTGATCAAAGTAATACACAATCTACCTTTTGCTGACCAGGTTAACTGTCTTTAGTCCTTTAGTCCTCTCCTGAGGTAGAAAGGCAGGAAGAGGGCAGGAGAGGGTAACAGTTAAGTTGCTGGACAAGCTGTTTCTGCCCTGTGCCCTTTCTCAGCCATGCCCCACCTCAATAACCCTCGTTTTCTTTCCAGTACTGACTTCAGATGACTTGGAGATTAAGTGGAAAAAAAAAACAAGTTTCCAGAAGCACAGCTTTGAAAACTCAGACCAAAGGTTCAGGCATGATAGCCTAGTGGCTAAATCCTCACCTTCAACACGCCGGGATCCTATATGGATGCTGGTTCGAATCCCTGCAGCCCCACTTCCCATCCAGCTCCCTTCTTGTGGCCTGGGAAAGCAGTCGAGGACAGCCCAAAGCTTTGGGACCCTGCAGCTGTGAAGGGGACCTGGAAGAAGCTCCTGGCTCCTGGTTTTGGATTGGCTCAGCTCTAGCCGTTGTGGTCACTTAAGGAGTGAAAACATGGAAGATTTTTCTGTCTTTCCTTGTTTCTGTGTATCTGCCTTCCTAATTAAAAAAAGAATAAGTTAATTAAATCTTTAAAAACAAAAAGACCAAGTCACATGTCCCTTTTTCTGGGTGTCTTCTTTAAACTGTCTAGGATCCCAGCATATTAAATGGTGAGAGAAGTTATTATGCACCTTCAAAAACAGGTGTCTCATCAGCCTCCAGGAAGTTAACTTTCCTCCTGAGAGAATCTAAAACATCCAATGGAGAGACTAGATTCAATATCTGGAGTAACACACTAAACTACACTTCAGTGAGTTGAGAATATTGCCTTCGAAACCTGTCGTTAAACAAAGAAAAAAAGGAAAATAAGGTACTAACATACAAAGCTTTATTTCACATTTACAAAAGAAGAATCATGATGAAGCTAAACATTATACATCTCTCCCCAAACTTTTGCATGGATGTCAGCCGGAAGATTTATTAGGTACTATTATGTTCCAGCCTGTACCATAGGTGAGAAAGAAAGAGAACCATAAACAAATGGAAACAGTAGTTCCCACATAGAACAATGCTTTTTACAAAGCAATACATCCAAAACAAAGACAAACAGCAGCTGGGTATCATGGATTTGATTACCTGAGAAACCAAATGCTTACACACTGAAGGGTGCCAAAAACAGAAAAGACAGCAGCCAACCAGGGTCAGTCAATCACTGAAGGGACTCAACAAGAGCAGAGACAAAGCAGTACCAAGAGAATAGACGGAATACATGTGCCAAAGAATGGGCTGAGAACAAAGAAACCATTAGCTGGGGCTAACTACCAAATTAGTTTGGTTCCATTTTGGAAAGTAACAGGAGAAAAAGGGGGGAAGCTTGTGTGGTGTTTACATGCATCTGATACTGCAAACCCTGGAGGAGAGGGATATTTTAAGAGAAGAATGCTTGAGGAGGTATTAATCTAGTGCCTATCAAAGAGAAACCAGGACCTGAGGAAACAGCAGAAAGGCTATTTATTATAATTTATCTCTGAAAGTGCCTGAGGTGGTGGCTATAAAAATAGTCCCAAAGTTTGTTATCATGTAATTAGCAGCAGCATTTAATAGAGAACAGAAAATAGGTAGTAGGGAAGCAGTCAAGAAATACAGTTATAACTCTTTGTAACACTGGATTATAGGTATAGCATAATATTAACACCAAAAACACCAAGTAGGTAAATGTGATGGTATAAAGATGTATAACTATTTTTTGATACAAAGGACACCATCAAGAAAGTAAAGAATGAATTTGGCGCTACATCACTTTAACTGTCAGTTTAAGGTGATGATTGGTCCCAGGATGTACCTGTATTTCACCCAAACCAAAAGGACATGATGTCATAACGATTACACAGAATTTAAATTCCATATGGACATATTAAGTCCCAAATGATACATTTTTTCAATTTTACTTTTGATGATGTTTACATAGTTGAAAATATGGTGGGAAGGTTTGAGGAAAAACGCAAAGCGGATGAGACAACTGTTTCCAATTTTTCTTCTTGTATCTGGAGGAAGGAAGATGACAAGGGGAGAGAGCCACCCACAGCATCTGAACTGCATCAGTACCTGGGGATGGGGAATGGCCACCCAATGTCACCCCAGTATCCCCAACGTGGAGCATGTTCCAAGGGTACTGATTAAGTAGTTTTGATAGTTCTGAAATACTGCTGATTTCATTGTTCCAAGGATGAGGAAAGCCTTTCAAGGTCCACTGGCTGACACAGTCCACCTCAGAGTCAATTCACCCAGATACTTGCTGTCAAAGCTTGACTGGAGAGTTGTCCAATTTCTTCTGCCCTCTTTCTTCTGCTATGGTACTGGATGTCCTCTGCAAACCCCAATGGACTGCTCTACCTCCCATGTACATCTGATCCATAGCACCATCTTCAGGAACTGATGAGGCCCAGTTCTAAAACATGTACTCCATGATCAGACCACAGATCCCACGATTCATGGTTGGAGTTTTGAATACAGCAGTCCAGTTGGCAGGGGTAGGGGGACAGTAGCATCCCCAAAGAAACCTGGTGTGAAGTGACCACAGGTCTGATTCCTGTGTGTGCTTGCCAGCATAGGGTCCGGCTCAGTCTATCATTCACATTAGCTTATACCCACACTGGTGGTTGCAGTTGCCAGGCCAGTTCTGTCTCCAGCCCCAGCTCTCAAACTAATAGATGCTGTGGCCAAGACCAATGCTGCCTACCACACACTCAGCCCTCAAACACACCAGCAAGAATTGCAGTCTAGTTGGAGCAACCCCCACCAGGTCCACCCCAATGGCAGGAGCCACCCTTGGCTCTTATGCATGCCAGTATGTGCAGGAGACTGACCCAGTCTATTCTGAATTCCATTTACTTCCCATACACATCAGTGCTGAAGCCTAGTTCAGCCCAACTGACCCCACTCTTCAACCCACACTTAATATCAGCAGGTGCTATTGCCTGTCCAGCCAAGTCCACCCTCAGCTCTGGTTCTCATGCTCACTGGTGGGAGCTGCAGCGCATCAGAGGGTTACTCAGTTTCCCTATCAGGCCTACTCCCAGCCTCAGACTGCACTTTCCGGGTGGTTCTGCAGCCTAGATTGACAGGACTTGCCCCCATTCCAAGCACTTGCCAGCTGATGATGCAGCAAAGCCCTATCAGCCTTC